GGGGGGGGGGGATCTCTCAGCTCTGTCTGCCTTAGCAGATCCCTTTGCACTCCACACACCCCTGGAAGCAGGGTTTTTACACACACACACACGCACGCACGCACAAAATTAAATAAAAATGGGGTCTCGAATTATAGGCGAGGTGAGAAAAACTATCTGTTATTTTATAGCTTATGTTAAACATTGCAGCTTGTGTTACCACTCCAGTCTGTGAAATTGTACACGCCGGTTTTGTCTTTCTCTCTCTCTTTCCCCCGCACACTCTGCTCCTACAGAAGATGCTGAGCAGAGGTATAATGTCTCCCCAACTTTTAGCAGGCAGTGCTTTCCAGCGTCCAGCTCTGTTAGGGGTTTGATGATGAGAAGTAAGTGCATTCAAACGTCCCTGGGATATTTTCTGCCGTGCAGTTGGGGCTGCAGCAGCGAGGTGGCGCTCCAAGGTGCGGGAGAGTGGCAGGTTTGCCCATTAGCACGATTTCCGAGCTGGTTAATGGAGTTCGCAGGAGAATACAATTAAACTAAGCATTTCAAAAGGGAAAGATGCAATAAACCGAACAACTGTTAAAACAAGCCTTTCCCCGATCCAGCCCTGCAAGCTGCGGCCGGTCGGTGCTTGGAGCAAATCACAGGGACGTGAGAGGCTCAGGGTGGCATCTTACGTCGTTGTAACTCTACCTTATTAATATTTGCAGGGTTGGGTCCACTGCATCCGAGGCATTCAAATATGAAAAGTGAGAGTGCAATGATTCCGGCTAGATCCCTAATTGTGAGCTGGGATGTGGCGCTGGGCACCCACGGAGGGAAGGAGGGCAACAAAAAGCAACTGAGGCTCGTCATTTCAGCCTCCGAAATCCAGGTTTAGGTCTCCAATGATCTGAACGAAGTTGGGAAGCTCTATTTTTTGTTTTGCTAACCATTAGGAGAAGGCAGAACAAAAGACCAAAGGAAATAGGGGGCGGGGGGGGAACTGTCTCTGGACTATGTTACAAAATCGAGTCAGAGTTATCAAGATCCACCCCCCCAAAAAAGCTAAATTCGTCCCGTTTCAGCTGGGTTGCATTCTTATTATTAATAAATGTGTATAAAGTATTACCATAGCTTGAAAAGGCGCTCTTTAAAAATAGCCAAAAGTTGAAAGCCTAGCCATAAAGGGGGGAAACGAGACCTCAGGCGCGCGCGCGCACACAGAAAACCCTGCACTATTTCTGTGCTCAGATCAGTTCCTCAATTAATCGATGAGGCTCCTTACTCGGACTTCATCCGTAATTTCCCTTTTTGTTTCTAGCCGAGGATCTTCAGCTCTTCACGTGCTGAGCGATTGAATGCACACAAGACAAAGTAAACGCGTGTCCAGCAATGATCAGCGCTTTATTATTATTATTTTTACAGGGGGAAAAAAAGAGCCTTAATCACGTATGAACGTCTCAGTGGTGCAAACTTATTTGAGAGCTTTCGTCGTGGTTTCCATTGCATATTTGAAACAGAAGGGGGAAAGGGTTATTATTATTATTATTATTATTATTATTATTATTATTATCATGGCTGCGTCCCACCACCCTGCACCACACAGATGCACTGCACATGATGCACTTCCCAGAGTACTTACATGTCTCAGCTCTGTTCTGTACTTCTCCTGACCCCCCCCCCCCTTTACACTTTCTCACCTTTTCTACAACTTTTGGAGCCCGATCTGTCGATGGGGGGGGGGGG